TATCAGATCAAAATTGCATAAATATTTTCATTTGGGAAGTACACTTTTTAGCTCACCTGAGCCGAAGGCTCAAGTGAGCTTTTCTGATCACATTTTGTCCGTCGTCCGTCCGTCTGTCTGTCTGTCCGTCCGTCTAGCTGTCCGTCTGTCCATCTGTCTGTCCGTCTGTAAACTTTTCACATTTTCGACTTCTTCTCAAGAACCACTGGGCCAATTTTTACCAAACTTAGTACAAAGCATCCTTGGGTAAAGGGGAATTTAAATTGTTAAAATGAAGGGACATATCCCCTCGCAAAGGTAGATAATCAAGAAAAGACAAAAATAGGGTTGGGTCATTAAAAAATCTTCTTCTCAAGAACCACTGGGCCAGTGAAGCTGAAACTTATGTGGAAGCATCCTGGGGTAGTATAGATTCTAAATTGTTCAAATCATGACCCCCGGGGTAGGGCGGGGCCACAATGGGGAATCAAATTTTTACATAGAAATATAAAGGAAAAATCTTTGAAAATCTTCTTCTCAAGAACCACTGGGCCAGAAAAGCTGAAACTTATGTGGAAGCATCTTAGCGTAGTGTAGATTCTAAATTGTTCAAATCATGACCCCCCGGGGTTGGGCGGGGCCACAATGCGAAATCAAAGTTTTACATAGAAATATAAAGGAAAAATCTTTGAAAATCTTCTTCTCAAGAACCACTGTGCCAGAAAAGCTGAAACTTATGTGGAAGCATCTAAGCGTAGTGTAGATTCTAAATTGTTCAAATCATGACCCCCGGGGGTTGGGCGGGGTCACAATGGGAAATCAAAGTTTTACATAGCAATATTAAGGAAAAATCTTTGAAAATCTTCTTCTCAAGAACCACTGAGCCAGAAAAGCTGAAACTTATGTGGAAGCATCCTGGGGTAGTGTAGATTCTAAATTGTTCAAATCAAGACCCCTGGGAGTAGGGTGGGGCCACAATGGGGAATCAAAGTTTTACATAGAAATATATAGAAACAAATCTTAGAAAATCTTCTTCTCAAGAACCACTGCCGGTCAGAAAAGCTGAAACTTATGTGAAAGCATTCTAAGGTAGTGTAGATTCTAAATTGTTCAAATCATGACCCCGGGGGGTAGCGCGGGGCCACAATTGGGAATCAAAGTTTTACATAGAAATATATAGGAAAAAATCTTTGAAAATCTTCTTCTCAAGAACCACTGAGCCAGAGAAGCTGAAACTTATTTGGAAGCATCCTGGGATAGTATAGATTCTAAATTGTTCAAATCATGACCCCCGGGGGTAGGGCGGGGCCACAATGTGGAATCAATGTTTTACATAGAAATATATCTGAAAAAAAAAATCTAAAAACCTAAGCTGAAGTTTATGTGGAAGCATACTGGGGTAGTGTAGATTTCAAATTGTTTAAATTATGATTAGTGGGGTAGGGTGGGGTCAGAATATGTATTACAAGGGGGAAATCTGGTAAAGAACAGAATGGCCAAAGCTTCTCAGGTGAGCGATGTGGCCCATGGGCCTCATGTTGTTGGTTAATTGTGTGACTTTGCCTTACTTAAAGACAACATTCGTTGAGGTGAGCTCTGTAATCTCTGATTACCTATGTTTTACCTTGACCTTTCCTGTGATCTTGGCCACACTTTTAGTGTTTAGTTCAGTTTTTAAGAAACCATCCAAGATATTTTTTTTAAACTTGATATGCTGATGCATACTGATGTATGGAATTCAACTGCATCAACATTTTTGACCTTGACCTTTCATTTGACCTTACTTTAAGCTAATTGTTTAAGTCAGCTTTAAAGAAATAATTCAAGATATTTTGTCAAACTTCATATGTTAATAGATATCGATGAGAGATATTCAATGCATCAACATTTTTGACCTTGACCTTTCCTTTGACCTTTAGACCTCACTTATCCTAAATTAGTGTCAAACTTCATATGCTTATACATATTGATATAAGCAATTCAACTGCATCAATTTTTAGCTCACCTGAGCCGAAGGCTCAAGTGAGCTTTTCTGATCAAAATTTGTCCGTTGTCTGTCTTTGTTGTCATCATTGTTGTCGTTAACTTTTTACATTTTCATCTTCTTCTCAAGAACCACTGGGCCAATTTCAACGAAACAAATTTTAAAAAAAATGTACGAAAAATCTTTTAAAATCTTCTTCTCAAGAACCATTAAGACAGAAAAGATGAAACTCATGTTGAATCTTCCTCAGATAGTGTAGATTCAAGTTTGTTTGAATCATGGCCCCCAGGGAGAGGGTGGGGCCACAAAGGCCGATCAAAGTTTTACATAGGAATATATAGGAAAAATCTTTAAAAATCTTCTTCTCATGATCAATAGGGACAGGGAGGATAAAACTCATGTTGAATCATCCTCAGGTAGTGTTCATTCAAATTTGTTCAAATTATAACCGCCGGGGGTAGGGTGGGGCCACAATAGTCGATTAAAGTTTTACATAGGAATATATAAAGGGAAGTCTTTAAAAATTTTCTTCTCAATTACTTCAAAGCCATGATTAGTGATATTTATATGTAAGCATCCTCAGGTACTGTAGAATCCAGTTTGTTCAAATCATAACCGCCAGGGATAGGATGGGGCCACAATGGGGGGGGGGGTCCAAGTTTTACACTAAAACAGATTTTTAAAAATATTTTTCTATAGAATAGCAAAGCCATGGTTAGTGATATTTATATGGAAGCATCCTCTAATAGTGTAGAATTAAATGTATTCAAATCATAACCTCAAAGGGTAAAGAAGGGTCTTAATGGTGAATCAAAGTTTTACATAGGAAAAAAAGGAAAAATCCCAATATCAGAAAATCTATGTTTAGTCATATTGATATGTAAGCATCCTCGTGCATTGAATATTTAAATTTGTTCAAATCATGAGTATCCTTGGGGTAGGGAGGTAAGCAATGGGGAGTCAAATTCAATTTATTACAAAGTATTTATACGTACAAAATGTTTAAAAAAAAATCTATAACAATGTTTTCTCAAGAAGTTATTGACAGTATTGATATGGAGGCATTCTGAAGTAGTATTACAATTCAAGCCCCCTCCTGAACCCCCACCCCCCACCCCCACCCCCCGGTAAACTTTTCAGTTCTGATCTGATTAATGTGCTTTTTCATAGCTGATGTGCTCAGCTGAGCGATGTGGCCCCTGGGACTCTTGTTTGACCTTGACCTTGATCTCCTTTTATAGAGAAATTAGTGTTAAACTTTATATGCTGATACAAACTGATGTAAGCAATTCAACTGCATCACTATTCAAGATATCCTGATCAAATTTCATACACTAATACATACTTTCATGTTGCACTACTTACCGGTATATACTCTCGGCGGGGCATTCATGTCCTATGGACATTCTTCGAGTTTTGTCTAACTGTCTGTTTCATGACTGTTCAACTATCTTGAAATCAAAATCCAAAACATGCAAAATGATTTTATGTTAAGAATTTTCTTTTTGTTTTTAAAAAAAGAATTAATTACAATAAGAACATAGATTTTTTTTATCCGTTTATTCCATCTTTCAGTTCATATGTCTTATAATGTACTTAAGTATTTAAAATTTTTAATTTACATAATTTTATAATAATTACCGGTAACCACTTTTCTCTTATAGATTAATTGGTTTAATTTACTTGACACAAATTGTTACAATTAGACTTTGTACATCAAGATTTATTCTGTTGCTACTTTATTTCGACTAAAACGATCAATCCAAGACACTTTTACTTAGTGATGGAACGATTGTCGCCGACAATCGATTGTCGGTCAGAAATATATCGATTACAAAATAAATGTCGCCGACATCGCTAACAAAAAATAAAATTGTCAAACTTTTATTTTATTACCAAATCCAAGTGCAAAGAGCATAAAAGTAGTGATGAATATTGAAAACATGGAAGGATTCCGTGTCTTGTTGACACTTTTACCGCCATGATTACATATGGGGTTAGACTCAAACCAGGAAACGGTGATATTGCAAGGTTTTACTATACGAAGGAAAACACATCAGAAATACAAGTCTTACTTCTGGATAACTACTTTTAAAACTTGCTATTTTAACTAATTAAAAAAACTAATTCTAAGATATAAATACATGCATTAAATGAAGGGTGGGACTAATATCAGTAAAATACCCATTGCATGGACTTTATAAAAATAAATTCCCATTTTGTTTCAATACTACTACATGTATATTGTTTAAAGTAAACAAAATATTATTTTCCATTTAAAAAAAAAAAAAATTCAATTATTATTTTTGATTATTTTATGAAAGTAAATGATTTCTTTGTGTGAGTAAGTTTTAACTTTTCTATATTAATTTCAGTTTTATAAACAGAATATATGAATTCTCTGAATTTACAATTCCTCTATCAATCAAGCTTATGCTACAGTTTAAAAGGTGGTATTTATTTACATATGAAGTCTTGTACTTTATCTCACAGTACACTTCTGTGAAATCAGTTTTCATTGTAATGGTAAAGTGCTGCTCTAGTTAAGTGAAGTTAGGAGAATATGTTCAAATGCTGTCTTCAAGAAAACAATTTTTGATATAAATTATTTTGTTGGAAAGGCTTGCAAAACATATAGACATGTAATGCTATACATACATACTGTAATTCACTTTTTATTCACGAGAACTTTATTTTCGTGTAATCATTCAACACAGTGTCCTCATGAAATGCGAAATTTTCATTCTCACATATATGAGTACATTGTATTCCTTTAGTTTATATAGAGCAAAAATCATAATTCGTGAAAATTTGTCTCAGTTATAAAAATTAAATGACTTTCTTGCAAAAATAAGGTGTCATGAAAATTAAGTGATCTTCAATAATTAAAACAAAAAAAAATAAGTTGTTTGAAGAAAAGATACAAGTTAAACTTTCCACTGTTTTAAGCACAATCCAGAAGAAATACACTATTTTCAGACACCTGCCTGTTTATTTCTGTATAAATGATGCCTTATTTGTTTTGTTTTTTTTGTAGACTACCTCAAGTTTTGGATTACGTCAATCAAGACATTTGGAGGCACTAAGGCACCACTGTTTCTTGCTGTAACACACACAGAAAGAAAATCTACAGATGTATGTATTATGCTAATAGATCTACAGTGAAGTCGCCAATTCCGGGTCACGTCAGGGTGTTTAATATTTTTCAATGATGTTCGGTTTATATTTCATGCAATATATGTATATAAAGTACAAATAGTGAGTCATTCAAAAACCTTTTTGGTTTCAAAGTAGCTACACGGGAACAATATTTACAAGGGTATTTCATGAAGGCCTAGCTTCCCAAGTTACGAATCATTTTCGCCATTTCCGGGTCATGTGACTTCAGGGTCTTGTAATATTCATGGATCGTTTTGGAACACAATTTTTATAATGTAGAAACATAAAACAATTCATGCAGCTTGGAAAAAAGTAAAACAGCCACAGAAATATGCTTAAATTAACCAATAGCAACAAAACAAATTGCAATATGCAGAATTAAAATAAAATTATAGTAGGATTAAAATAACACAGTTAAATTTGTTTATAAACAAGTGCATTTGAAGGATAAACTCAATCTAATTTTTAGAAAAATATTTTCCAGTTAGAATACTTTTAATAAGCAAGGTAAGTACACGGTTGTCGCTTGGTTCTGTATATTTAATTTGGACATGTTTCATACCACGAATTACGTGAACCGCAATGGGAGAAACTAGTACAGTTTGATTTATTAATCATTATAATTATACCCCCTGCAAACGAAGTTTGGGGGGGGGGGGTATATAGGAATCACCTTGTCCGTCTGTCCGTCCGTCTGTCTAGCTGTCTAGCTGTCTGTGCAAACGGTTCATATCTTTCTTAAGGATAAACTTGGTAGGTTCTCATTTCACACAAAGATTGCCCATGACCTAAGGGTGTGTCATGACCTTGACCCAAGGTCATTTGGGGAAGTTCAAGGTCACTGGAAGAAAAAATTCATAATTCGTGTCTGGTCTACATCTTTTTTATGGGTACACTTGGTAGGTTCTCATTTCATGCAAAGATTTCCCATGATCCAAGGATGTGTCATGACCTTGATCCAAGGTCATTTGGGGAAGTTCAAGGTCACTGGAAGAAAAAGTTCATAATTCTTGTCCGGTCCATATCTTTCTTATGGATAAACTTGGTAGGTTTTCATTTCACGCAAAGATTGCCCATGTCCTAAGGGTGTGTCATGACCTTGACCCAAGGTCATTTGGGGAAGTCAATATCTTTCTAATTGATAAACTTGGTAGGTTCTCATTTCACACAAAGATTGCCCTTAACCTAAGGATGTGTCATGACCTTGACCCAAGGTCATTTGGAAAAGTTCAAGGTCACTGGAAATAAAATTCATAATTTGTGTCCGGTCCATATCTTTCTTATGGATAAACTTGGTAGGTTCTCATTCTACACAAAGATTGCCCATGACCCAAGGGTTTGTCATGACCTTGACCCAAGATCATTTGGGGAACTTCAAGGTCACTGGAAGAAAGATTTTATAATTCATGTGTGATACATATCTTTATTATGGAAAAACTTACTTCTGAAAAACCCAGCGGGGGGTATTTTGTCCCGTTTGGACAGTTCTAGTTTTATTTGAGCAGCGATTATGATGATTAATTTCTGAGTTAAAACTAAATGCATTTGCCATACTTTCGAGCTCTTATTATTTATCTAGAACTTTTACCTCAGCCTTGCTGCAGCGAACAAAATCAAAAGTGGCTCGTCAATGCAGAAGCATCCCGTCTTCAGTGCATGCATTTCAGAATTTCGATTGTCGGATCCTCTCTAAAGCTGATATTCAAAATTTTGTAATTAATTACAGAGAGAAAGATCAATTCTTCATAAAGTTTTTACGCTTAAATCTTAACAATATCGCAAAAAATACACACGAGTGACCCGGAATTGGAGACAATCCGGAATTGGTGACTTCACTGTATGTATTTCAACCTGAGCGTAAATTAGAAGAAAAAATAGATTATGAACAATTTGTTTGTTTATTGTCCCTTTCAACAATTTCACTATTTTCCTCTAGCTGAACCAAAGACGTTTTTTCTGATACACTTTCATTATTGTTATCAAATACCTAATGGTCCAATTTCATCAAACATATAAGGTTTTCTGATCATATTTTGTCACTTGTGCATCTAGCTGTCTAGTTGTCCATTTGTATGTCTAGTTGACCATCTGTTTGTAAACTTTTCACATTTCTGTGTTTTTCTCAAGAACCACTGGACAAATTTCCACCAAACTTGCCACAAAGCCTTTAAGGGTACTTACCACAAACAAAAAATGGATGCACGGCTTGATATATATTTTTTGACTGATTTCGATTTGAAATGACATAAATAATAAATCCCTGAATTAAAAAGAAATCGTAGGTTTTCCTTGATGCTTAGATATGAGATTTTGTTTTGCCTTCTATATAATTCCATACAAAATTTTGCACAATTTTTTGACCTTATGACAAAATCTTATATAATTCTCCCACTCTACTTGGTAAACATTATTCAGGTTACCAATTTACATGTAAATCTATGAGAAATAATGCTGATTTCTGAAAAAAGTTTGTTTGTGTTATTTATCCTTAAATTTCGTAAAAACAAAGGTCACATCCTCTTTCAAGGAGAAATAATTAAAAATAAATAAAACATTCAATTTGATGCCATTTTTCAAAAGTTTTCCTCTCAAGATCCATTGGACCAAATACAGTCAGTGTAATTATAATATGAATCTTCTTTCAGTTTTAGCTCACCTCAACGAAGTTGGGGGAGCTTATGTAATACCCTCGGCATTGGCGTCCATGTAGGCGTCGGGGTCCCAGGTTAAGGTTAAGTTTTTTGGAGCAGTTTTCTTTTTAAATACTTCTATGTCCTATGTTGATTAGACACGCATGGAAGATGGTTCTAGTGTGTTTCATTGTACCAGACAAAGTTTCAGATGCTGCAATTTCAGCAAAGGAATGACCAGGTTAATGTTTTTGGAGCAGGTTAACATTTTTGGTGCAGTTTCTGATGTAGGTTTCATTTCCAAGTAACTATAAGCCCTATGTTGACCAAACTTGCATGGATGATACATCTAAGGATGCATACTACCGGGCTTGCTGCGGATGCTGAATCTGACCTACATTTTCCAGCTGAGTGAACAGGTTAAAGTTTTTGGTGCAGGTTTCATTTCCAAGTAACTATAAGCCCTATGTTGACCAAACTTGCATGGATGATACACCTAAGGATGCATACTACCGGGGTTGCTTCGGATGCTGAATCTGACCTACATTTTCTGGCTGAGTGAACAGGTTAAAGTTTTTGGTGCAGGTTTCATTTCCAAGTAACTATAAGCCCTATGTTGACCAAACTTGCATGGATGATACATCTAAGGATGCATATTACCGGGCTTGCTTCGGATGCTAAGACTGACCTACATTTTCCGGTTGAGTGAACAGGTTTACATTTTTTGGTGCAGGTTTCATTTGTAAGTAACTTTAAGCCCTATGTTGACCAAACTTGCATGGATGATACATCTAAGGATGCACACTACCAGGCTTGCTTCGGATGATGAATCTGACCTACATTTTCCGGTTGAGTGAACAGGTAAAAGTTTTTGGTGCAGGTTTCATTTCCAAGGAACTATGAGTTCTTTAATGACCAATCTTGCATGGATGATACATCTAAGGATGCATACTACCAGGCTTGCTTCGGATGCTTAATCTGACCTACTTTTTGTGGATTAGTGAAAATGTCAGTTATTGATGCATGTTTCATTTCCAATAAACTATGAGCCCTATAATGAGCAAACTTGCATGGATGATACATCTTAGGATGTACACTAATGGACTTGCTTCGGATGCTGAATTCGACATAATTTTTCAGATAATAGACCAGGTAAAAGTTATGGTTGCAGGTCTATTACCAAAAACTATAAGGCTTATATAACATTGTATAAACCAAACTTGCACAAATGTTGCATCAAGAGATGAAAACTCTCAAATTTGCTGCAGATGCTGGATTTTCATTACATTTTCATGAAGAAGAACTAGTTTAGATTTTTTATGTAGGTCTTTTTCTAAGTATCAGATCAAAATTGCTTAAATATTTTCATTTTTGGAATGTACACTTTTAGGTGGTTAATTGTGTGACTTTGCCTTACTTAAAGACAAGATTCGTTGAGGTGAGCTCTGTAATCTCTGATTACCTATGTTTTGTATATAGTGTAGGTTCCATTGTGTTCAAATTGAACACCCAGGGGTAAGATGGGGCCACAATAAGGAATTAAACTTTAACATAGAAATATTTAAGGGAATTTTTTATGCCCCGCCATGAATATGGCCGGGGCATATAGTGTTTGTCATGTCCGTCTTCCGTCCTTCCATCACACTTTGCGTTTAGCTCTGTTCAAAGTTAAGTTTCAAAGAAACTATCCAAGATATTTTCATCAAACTTCATTTGCTGATAGATATTGATGAGAGCTATGCAACTGCATCAACATTTTATGACCTTGATCTTTCCTTTGACCTTGAACTCACTTTTCTTAAATTAGTGTTTAGCTCAGTTTTAAACATACAATTCAAGATGATTTATCAAACTTCACATGTTGATATAAACTTGCACGGATGGTGCATCTCTGGATGAACACTACCAGACTTGCTTTGGATGCTGGATCTGACCTATCGGTACATTTTCCAGATGAGTGACCAGGTTAAAGTTTTTGGAACAGGTCCATTACCAAGGAACTATAAGCCCTTCCCAAACCAAACTTGCACGGATGATGCATATAAGGATGAACACTACCAGACTTGCTGAGGATGCTGGATCTGACCTACATTTTCCAGATGGGTGACCAGGTTAAAGTTTTAGGAGCAGGTTCATTCCTAAGGAACTATAAGCCCTACTTGCACCAAACTTGCATGGATGATGCATCTAGAGATGGACACTACCAGACTTGCTTCGGGTGTTGGATCTGACCTATATAAGCCCTACTTGAACCAAACTTGCATGGATGATGCATCTTGGGATGGATACTACCAGACTCGCTCTTGGATGCTGGATCTGACCTATATTTTCATTCCCAAGTAACTT